CAAACTTTAAATTTGAATTTTGTGCGGACAAATTTAAAATTTGACCGACTTTAAAGTTTGTCCGCAACATATACGTCTTATTTGCATAAAACTACTGCACCTATTGGCTCTATGTATATGCAAGTACATCCTAAATAGAGAAAAGGAGGAAAGAAATACGTCGATGTCTTTTCTGCACGAAGTCTAAATTTTTATTAATACTTTTATATTTTGTTGTATAACTTAAATAGAGTTTTAGGAAAGAGTTGTTTTATTTCTGAATGGGATTAAATCCACTTATTATAGGTTCTATCAGAAATGCTGAACACTTTAATAAACAAACACTTATAGATATTTAAATGTAACACTTGTAGTTGTTGCTGTGTAACTATTGTTGCGTGAAGGTTTTTTTGAAAATGTACTTTAGTTAACTTTTTGGTCTATAAAAATGGGGAAAACGCTATTTACGAAGTGTTCTGCAATCGAAATCTGCTTCAATATAATTGATTTAGAATGTATGACGGTATTTTTATTTGATCATAGCTCAAAAAGCACGTGTTGCTGCTCAATGAGGCAATAACTAAAGAATAATAAATATAAATAGTACTCTATTTTAATATAAATTGATTTTGAAACTGGAATTAATATGTGTTGATTCAGCATAAACGTCAAAAAACAGAAATAATTACACATAGTAGGCGTCTTGCACCAGAAAGTTGGTCTAGGCTATTTCACCAAGAAGTGTTGCTGTGGAGCTATCCTCTGGTTTATAAGGATTTCTCGCGGTCCTCTTTCTATTTGTCTCTGGAAAGTTTTCTCGAAAACCTTTGAAAGTAGGACTTCTAGAAAAACCGTGGTATTTGGATTACATTAGTTAGATTAAAAGTGTTTTAAAAATCACTATTGGGACTTAATTTTAAATTAAATTGAAAAATTGAAATTTTGGGTTGAAGTCATGATTCGTTTTTCAAAATGTTTGCCTTTGAATCCGAATATGTTATTTAAAATGTTCCATACTCTAATAGTGATTTTTAAAACACTTTTAATTCAACTATGTAGTCTAAAAACCACTGTTTTTCTGGAAGCCCTACTTCCAAAGGTTTTGGAGAAAACTTTCTAGAGACAGATAGAAAGAAGCCCCCAAGAAATCCTTATAAACCAGAGGACAGCTTCAGTAGCCCGTTTTTGAATGAGATAGTTTTCTCGTGCAAGACGCCTATTGTTATTTTACGTTTCTTATTCATTGTTTTTTTCTGCAGTGTAGGAGAAAGATACTGTTAAGAAGCGAACACCACGTGGAAGAGGAAAAAAAAGGAGAGAACAAAATAAACTATATTATATAAATACCGAAATGTTCGAAATAAATTAGCTTTATTAAAAAGCACTTATCGTGTTTATATAATATATTCAAATTACTTGTAGACAAAAATGGCAGCAAAAGTAACAGGTAGTGTTGTAGGAAAAGGTGGTTGCGAAGATAATGCATTTAATGGTAATGAAATATTAATAGTGGAAGTGCAAGATACAAGCCGTGCTGATGCACCGTCTATCTCCCTTGGTCAACAAAAAATAACATTGAAAAAAGGAGAAAAATTTCCGATTAATTTTGATATTGAATATCAAGAAGAGGAAGCAAGTAAAGTACCTGATTATGGTTTAACATTAAGTGCAAGAATCGAAGATAATAATGGTCAATTATTATATATTAACGATACAAGTACAAGTATTAAAGACAAAAAGATTGAAGTAATCAAGGTTTAATTGACAAACTTCTATTTTGTTCTTATCTTATTTATTAAAATTAGGTAGCAGCTTACATTAAATTTTAACTATGTATCTATCCGTTTGTAATCCATAGCTTGTAACTACAAACGTCTTTGTTTACATTATTTCTGCACTTTTCATTTTTTGTTGAGACTTCAATCAATTTCTTTATATTAAAATTAGCATTAAACCTTTCTGCCGTTCAGGTATATATGCTTGCCGTGTAGTGCAGAAGTATAGCATAACTGATTAGCTGTGTACCGTAACATTATAAAACTAGTGTGATAAACTTTCGGGTATTACTAAAAGACGCAAACACCTCCAAATTAAAATCTGAATTAGCCAATCGATGGAGGTCGTCGAGCTCAGTATAGCAATGCCTTACGAACACCTCAAAAAGGTTTTACAGTTTCGCTTTTAAAGCATACATTTTCAATGAACATCCGCAAACACCCAAAAGAAACGGTAAGAATATCCAAAAAAGTGTGCCAAATCCATTTTCAGGTTGTTCTGACTCTACTGGTACCATTTTCAACCCGTTTTTGGTTCGAGTTGAAAATGGTACCAGTAGGCTCAGAACAACCTGGAAATGGATCTGGCATATTTTTTTGGGTTTTCGCGTCTTTTAGTAATGCCCCAAACATTTCTGAAACGAAACCATCTCTGGAATAACAAAATACGGATATGTCCATTAGAAATATCTCACGATATACAAAAACGTCAATGCCAGCATCTTGCCGAGATAGGCTTTGTTGAGCAGCAGAAGTGTTAGGCTTAGAGCCCAAGACTTCCAACTGTGGACATATCATAAGTTTTTTGAGACTTTTTAAAACTGTTTATAGTTCTAATTATGCGCGAAAAAAAATTTGAAATACATATTTTCCAATCGAATAAAAATAAAAAAAATAGAGTGGTTGCTTTATTATAACAGAAATACTCGACGAGCGTAGTATTTGCTTCATTCTGAGTGTGGCTTTGATTCATCTAATGTTAGTTTGATTCCTATTTCTCTACGACTTTATGTGTTTTGTGTTTTATTTTTAGTTATGGATTTAAAGTTAGTAATTATTAGTTGCACTCCTTTATCTTTGTTTTTAGATATAATTGTTATTAACTTTTTAATGTTTTTTATATTAGTTACAATCCGTGTAATATTAGACCGATTTATAGGAACTTTAAGGTGGGTTGAATAGACAAAAAGCGAGGCGCAATAGATAGTAGCTATTTAGACTGAAATTTTATACTCAAATCAAACATTTATCTTTGATTTGTTTTTTTCGCCGTAGCGATGGTTTTTATATTTGATCGTTTGAGAATGCAATTTCCAATTTTAAAATATTAGCATTTATGTTTAACAGAATTTTTGCTTCTGTATTTTAAGTGTTTTCCTCTTGACAAACCTTTTGAATAGTATTAAGATGTTTTGTCCTTGGGTTTGTTAATTTGGAGGGCTTGTGTGAAAAGAGCTCAGTTTCCATTTAGATTTTGACTTTTGTCTGGTATAAGAGCTCCTACTTCTATTTCTGCTCTTGTTCATTCGTCTACTCTTATAGTGATCTTATTCTTGAACTTTTTCCATAAGTTTTCACCATTGTATAGCTGATAGTCTCAGGAATCGAACAAAAAAAAAATTTGAGTTTATCATTTAAAATGAAGGAGTTCTTGCCCGTATAATACACTTCATTTCTGTTCTTATTAAATATCGTATTTATTTAGAACAGACCATTGAATATATGCTTTTAATTAGAACACGTCTATTCACCTCATTTTCAGGATTCTTACCCAGATATAGCATACGCCAGATGGTGTTGATTGTTGATCTCAATTGGAGAGCAAAAACGTTTCGGATTTGGGCGAAAAAATTCAGAAAGCAGTTTTGCTTTTAGTGAACATCATCAAATCTTATAGAAAACGGTTGTCCTTTCGCCAGACCTTTTAGTGGAAAAAAATGCGAAATCGAGGATGAGAGTGAGTTCCGTTTTAGGAGAAAAAAACTGACCATCAGCACCGCAAGAACGTTTCGTAAGAAATCTATTGCAGAACGCTCTAACGCCGGCCCTGACTTTGAACCAGGCTAGGAGAGTACAAGAAAAACTGTTTGAATCGAGAAATCTTCATCGTCCTCATCCTTTATAAAAGTTTTAAGCGCCATCTCAGTTAGAGACGTTCCCATGGGAACATCGTTTGTCTTGTCCTTCCACAAAGTTCGATGAAAGTAAGGGCAAATTTGA